ATCAGATGAAAATGAGACAACTCGAAATGCGTGCACACGTGCACGCAAACCGAGGACCGACCCTCAGGCACCGAAATGCCACTCTAATGAGGCATGGCAAAGACATGGAATATGGCACACAATAATGCAAAAATCAGAGGTAAAATGAGATGCAAAACAGCCCCGAAACCCGGTAAAATGAAACCCGATGCATGGAACGAGCCCCGAAACATGGATTTTGGTGCATGAAATGGCTTATAACTATACAATACAAACATAATTTGAACATGAGATGAAAATACAGAAGCAAGGAAACCCCTAGACAAGCATTTTTACAGTTTAAGGCATGGCCAAACAGTAAGCACAAATGGGACTAAATTATCATACAAAAATGGCTCCACAAGGGAGGCAATGAAGCAAGTGGTAGATACAAAGCCCAAACAGAAAAAGACTCTTCTACAACACTGAAGAGGGACCAAAAATATGACTACTTACAGTTTATGGCAGCCCCCAAAACAGCATACAAGCATACTCAAAATGACATGCAAGGTAGGGCCCAAAAGAGGTTATAACACAAAGTATACAAAACATTCATCAAACATCCAAAGACCCTTAATAAAACATGACAAGGGGGTCAAAATATGGCCACTTTCAGTTCGGACCAAGGTCCAAAAACAGAGACACAATAGGCTAATAAATCATGCAAAAATGGGGACCAAAGAGGGGTATAATGACAAGTGGCACATGGAGGTCCCAAAAAGTAATGAGCCCTTCTTCAATGTTGAATAAAGGCTCAAAATAAGCTCACTTACAGTTTATAACATGCCCCAAAACAGATTACATATAGGCCAAAAATAACATGCAAGATTAGGGTCTAAAGAAGAGATAAAGAAGGAGGTGCAAGATGGGGACCTCAAATGACAAAATTCCCTTAATAAAACATGAAATAGAGCTCAAATAAAGGGTACTTTCAGTTTTGGTCGGAGCTCAAAACAGCAAGCAAAGTAGCTAGAAAAATGTTGCAAAATTAAGCTCAAAAAAAGGGAATTGACACTTACCCTTGAAGACTTGACTTTGGCACCCTTTTGGCTTGAGTTTGGTGTCTATTAGGCTCTAAAGAACCACCTCCAGCTGCTGGAATGGAAGATGGGGATGTGGTGCTATGAGGTGTAGTGTAGAATGGTGTAGGGTTGGAAAGATTGGAGCTTGGAAGAGAGGGAGATGAAGGTATATGTATGCAAGGCTCTTAGGTGATTTTTTTTCAACCTTCAAGACAGAGCTGGAGGCTCTGTTATGTAGACAAAAATGGGGGAGAAATGAAGGGAAAAAGTGGGGGGAAAACAAGCCAAGTTTCCCCCCAAAAGTTGTCCCCCCCGGATACAGATTTTTTGGGGGAAAAAAGTATACAGCCCCCCGGATACAGGTTTCTTGGAGGGAAAACAGATATACAACTGGAATATACACACTGCAAGGATCATAGCCGGCCAAGTTTTGGAGCGGCCACCCCCCATGGCCGGCCGGCCAAGGGTCAAAAAGGTCAAAAGATTTTCTGGCCGGCCACCACAAAATGGTGTCCTCCCAGGTATCCTCAACACAACCCTGTGGTTCAAAATTGTCAACTGTAAAACAGGAGAGAGAATAGGCCATTTTTAGGAAGGGTTCAAAAGGGTTAGGTGGAATTACTGGCCGGCCACCAACTTTTGGTGTCCTCCCATGTGTGTACAACACAAATATGTGGTTAAAAGTTCAAGAAAATGGCCCAAGGGTGTTCAACATTGGCTTGGAAGTGAGAAAAACGGGCGCCAGAGGAATATAACTGGTTGCTGAAACAATTGCTGGCCTCCCACCCTTCTACGGCCTTCCTGGTGATGAAACAGAGGTACCTTCCAAAAATGAACGAAAACCGATGCAAAACGAATGTTCGGGGGGCCAGAACGCGCAGTTCGGGGCCCCGAAAATTGCCTGTTAAGCACCGAAAGTGGCATTCGACCACGAAGTGGGTCTCTCAGACCTCAGTGTCCCTCAAAAGGGAGTAAATAATATGCATGCCAAAAACCGGAGCAAATGGAGGTGGTTAAGCGGTCCCAAACCGAGGCACACAGCCAATGGCTCCGAAAAACCAAAAACCGGACTCCAAACGGGCAAAATGGCCTACGACCACAAAACGTAGCCTACGGACACTAAGAGATGATCTACGAGACCTCTCCCTCCCTTCGCGAAGAGAAAACAGAGAAAACCGAGCCTGGTTCGCAAACCGAGGCAAAGCATGAAAGAGTCCGGAAGTCCGGAGGCAAGGCTCGCAGCCGAGATTCTGAAACCTCTGAACGAGCACAATATGCAACATCACCAAGCGCTCAATCGGTGACGTCTGAGTCTTAAGGTCGGTCAAAAATGGGGTGTCTACACATTTTTACCGAGTTATGGCCGTGTATCGACGAAACGAGGCTCTAATATGTATCTTGTTTCCTTTCAGCCTTGGTGACCTGGGTTTAACATGGTTTGAAAGGTTTCTAGAAGGTAGCATAGCTTCGTGGGCACAACTAGCGGAGGCATTTGTGATCAGATTCAGAACAAACACCAAGACACCAATGGAGATTGACCAGCTTCTCTCCATAGACATGGGCGAGAAAGAAACATTGGGTCTTATAATAACCGGTATTTGGAGACTTTTAATCAGATTGGAGATTGCCCTACAAACCTAATTATCGCACAGTACAAACGAGGTTTGTCGGCTGGCAATAAGTTGAGGGATTCAATGACAATGACGTCGCCCCTTACTATGGAAGCCCTAATGGAGAGAGTGCACCAATACATCTGGGTAGAGGAAGATAGGGTGCGCACCAAAGCAAAGTCCAGCACAACAGTGATACCAGACAAAAAGCTTTTTGGCCAGAGTTAACACGGTTGACAAGTAGGATTGACCGCGCAAAAGTCTTTGCCCGACTAGGGAGCAATTGGAAAGGTTGTCAGGATTGGCCAACTCTTTCTAACAAGTCTTTGCCCGACTGGGGGGCAATCAAGAAGCTTGGCAGGATTGGCCAGCATTTAGCTTTTCTTCAGCCGAGATTAGGATCTGCGCTGAAGAAGGTTGGCAAGAATAACCAACATTTAGCTCTCCTAAGCCGAGATAAGGATTTAGGCTGCAGGAAGTTGGTCAGAATAACCAACACTTCGCTCAAAGTTGGCAGGAATAACCAACTTTGAGCTCTCTTCAGCCGAGATCAGGATCTAGGCTGGAGAGGGTTGGCTAGAAAAACCAACATTTTGTTCTCTTCAGTCGAGATCAGGATCTAGGCTGAAGAGGGTTGGCCGGAATAACCAACACTTCATTCTCTTCAGCCGAGATCAGGATCTAGGCTGAAGAAGGTTGGCAGGTTTGACCAACAAATTTTTGAACTCTTTGGCGGGGATGATGGTTACCTCGGCCAAAAGCAGGTTGGCAGGTTTGACCAACAAATTTTTGAATTCCTGGACCGAGATGGTTATCTCGGCCAATGAAGGTTGGCAGGATAAAGTAAAAGCTGATGAGCTCGGCCAGACATGCCAGATTAATGGAAGGACGTGTTGAGCAACTGATAAGGCTTATTGGGACGAAACGAGCTGTGAAACCGAACAACTTTTTAGCTCAGCAGAGTAGGGGCATTCTTAGCTTGGCTGGAGGAAAAATAATGTTAATCATGTTACGTAGATGGAATTAAGAGGCAATTGAGAGGGTAATTTGTAAACAAATTGGGCCGAGCTAAGAAAAGTCTTCTTTGGAAGTTGGGCCACGCAATGGGCCGAGATAAGGGCTGGTATAGCTTGGTCTTAGGCCAAGAAGACATCTCATATTTTCGGATTTGGGCCGAACTATGGGCCGAGGTGTTTGGGCTTCGCAAGTTGGACCTCGTCCTTGTTAGTTCGGTTGGAGACTGCTGCAGTTAGCTCGGTCTAAACAGACAAAACCGAGGTAACATCAATGGCGAGGGCCGAGCTGTGTATAGCTCGGTAGGGTGGCATTCGATAGATCGACTTTTGATCACACGGTCCGAATGGCAGGGGACCGAGATAAGGCAGTTCGGTCAGGAATGTATAACCGAGGTAAAGGGTTCAGCCATCTCACTTGGCTTGCAGTGATGATACTCCTATGAGGACTCTACTAAGGAGAGTAGAGTCCTACTGGGATTGTGTAAACCATCTTACTTGGTTGGTAGTGAGTAGGAGTATGACTCTTAGGAGGACTCTGCCAAGGAGAGTACAGTCCTTCTAGGATTATGCAAACCATCTCACTTGGTTGGTAGTGAGTAGGATGTGTGATTCCTGGGAGGACTCTTATAAGGAGAGTTGAAATCCTACTAGGAATGTACCAAGCCAAGTCTATAAAAGCTCATAGCTGAACCTATGGACAGGTATCACAATGACAATCCCAATTCTTACTCTAGAATACACAGAGCTTATTGTCTATTGTCTAGTTTCTGACTTAGGCATCGGAGGGGTTTCCGGTACACACCTGCCGGTTAGCTCACGTTTGTGTTTTCAAGTAGCAAAGCGGCAACGTTTGGAGGAGCGCAAACTTGATCAACGTTTCCATGTGGCTCCACCACTGCGTGCATCTGTAATGAATCTGCAAATGGAGTAATGATACTACAATTTTGAAGGTTTTCTTGTACACTTAATTTGAAAACGATTGCAATGACATCAAAATATTATGGGGGATGTTTGGTGTGGATATGTAAGTAAGTTATAACTTATTTTAATATAAGAGTTTGTGTCAGACTATTTAGTGCAGTTTCTGCTTATAATTTATTAGGCAAAAATAGTTTAAATAAGCTAAAGAAAGTTAATTTTTTAGAAATTGAGTGAAATTGAGTGAGGGATGTTTTAATTTTTGCTTTTTGATTATCAATTTTTAATTTAAAATAATCTCCACCAAACACCCTCTATGACCTTTAATGTTCTTTTGATGGACCAACAAACAATGCTAGGCAAAAGTTGAATAACAAAGAATTCGCGAAGATTGACACCCTCTCTTTCCAGTGATCTCACATAACACCTCATCAGTCAGTTTTTATAGTCATATAATTCAATTGAAAGTTACACAATTTGGCTGACAACCTTGACTGTGAACCTACCCTTTTTTTCACAGCGGTCCTACATGACAATTCATCAATCATAGTTTTCTATAGATAAAATGTGGAGTCACAGAACTAAAAAGTAACGCAAATGACAATCTTATTTCTAATAATTCTTAATTGATGCCATTATCATTGAAAAGGCAATTATACTTCGATTCCGGTAGAACCAATTGACATCATTTCAAATCAGGGACGACAAAAAATTGAATGATTTTGCTTCATATGGATTCTGAGACGCCTGATACGTCGCTGTGGTATTTATGTTCCCAATACTTAGCAATAAGATCATGATGTTCTGACTTGCCAGAACAATATTGGAATGCATCAACTATTTTTGCATCCTTGTTCGTTGTGAATTTCCCACATCCAAAAGTATTTGGACAATTTTTCCTAAAATTCCAAATTGCCAGGCCATTCCATGCAACGGTGAAAAGTAAAAAACTATTTGAGCAACACTATTTTTCAGCATTTAACCGCACTAAATCCGTCATATCAGGAAATTCGGTTTCATTAGGCATATCCAAGTAAGTCATGCCAACAGAAGAAGAGCCCAATCTGCTCTTGGTTTCAATCCAGCTCTTCCCAGGCTTCTTCTTAACCCCTCTATCTTGCATTAGTCTCCAGATCTTAAGAGCATCGCTCCACCGTCCAATTGCTCTATACACATTAGCTAGAAGAACATAACTCAAATGGTATTCAGGTTCCAATGCCATCATTTTCTTTGCGATGCGCTCTGCAACAACAGAATTTGTACTGGTTGAACAAGCACCTAGAAGAGCTGCCCAAAGAGACGAATCATCTTTAAATTCTGTGTTTAGTATCAAATTTTCAGCATCTTCTATCTGCCCATCACGGCCTAGGAGATCAACCATGCAATTGTAATGCTCAATTCCAGCTTTAATCCCATATTGTTCAGTCATTGAAGTAAAATGCTCACGCCCTTGATCAAGCAAACCTGTATGGCTACAAGCAAAAAGAATCCCAATAAAACTAATATAATCTGGCTTAATCCCCTCCATAACCATCTCATTGAACATCCTAAGAGCTTCTCCGCCTCTTCCATTTTGAGCGAACCCACAAATCATTGAGTTCCAAGTTATCAAATTTCGAACTGCCATCTGTACAAAAATCCTATAAGCAAAATCAATACAGCCGCTTTTTGCATACAGATCCACTAAAGCAGATTCTACAATAACGTCTCTCCAACCACCCTTCCTCAAGTACTGGCAGTGCACCTCTTTTCCCTGTCTCACAGCTGCCAAACCTGCACAGGCTCGAAGAATTGTTCCGAAGCTGTAGAGATCAACCTCGTTCATTTCCCTGAAAAGATCAATAACGGTTTCAAAATCACCCTTTTGACAGTATCCCCCGAGCAATGCACACCAAGAAACTAAATTCTTTTGTGTCATTCTATCGAAAACACGCCGAGATTCATCAACTAATCCACATTTGCCATACATGTCTACAAGACTGCTCTCAACAACCACATTTCCACAAATTTCAGTCGTAATTACCTTAGCATGCACTTCCTTACCTTGTTTTAGCCTCCTCAAATTCCCACAAGCTGTCAAGACCGTCCCAAACGTAAACCCATCTGGTGACAAACCATATTTCCTCTGCATCAAATAAAAGAACCCTAAAGCTTTCTTAAACAAATCGTTCCTCGTCAATGCTGAAATAACCGACGTCCAACAAATAGCATCTGGTTCGAGCAATTCATCAAACAACTGGCGTGCATCTTTAGATTCATAATTCTTCCCATACATGTCAATCAGAGCGCTAGCAATAACATGATTTGAATCAAACCCACGTCTAAAAACAACTCCATGAAAGCACCGACCAACCTTTAGGTCCCCAAGCTCCGAACACGCCTTAATCACAGCAGATAGAGTAAATCCATTTGGCTCAACCCCAAAATCCAACATTTCCGAGAACAAACCGATTGAATTTCTGGGTTTTCCCACACGCATGTAACCCGAAATCATCGAAGTCCAAGAAACAACATCCTTAACAAAAAGACCATCAAACACCCTTCTTGTATCGAAAAAATTCGAACCCAATTTGAAGTAGAGAGCAAGCAAACTGTTCCCAACGAAGCGATCAGTTTCGAGTCCGGATTTGATGACATGGGAATGGATTTGGAGCCCGTGGTTAAATGAGTGAACTTTGGTACAGGTCTGTAATAAACAAGCATATATGATTGGTTTTACAGAGATTTCAGAGGAATTAACAGAGTTCAGGAGTTTCAGAGCTTGAGAGAGCGAGTCTGATTTGCAGAGTTGGAAGATTTTGGACTCTTTGGATGATGAGTACTTGGTGGTTTGAAGGTTGGGAGGTATGAGAGAGCTGTGATAGCATCTGTGGAAAAGCTTCATGAAAATGGGGATGAGAGAGAAACAACTGGTTTTTTAAAATTTTCAAAAGACTGGGAATGTGGTAGTTGAGTACGAGCTTTTTGTAATATTTGATTTTGCTTCATTCGCCTTAGTACTGGAGTTCTTTGAACCAAATTTAAATCTGTGAAGAAAAATGAAGAGGAAGGCAATTGTCAATAAATTTTGAAAAAATATTAAGCTAAATTTTATTTATTTAATTTTTTTGGTGCAAATTATTGTTTATAAATAATCGTTCAACTCTCTTGTAATTCGTAAACTGAAATACATTGTGAGACATTCTATCTAAGCGAGCATCAAGCATAAAATGCATGTTAGGAAGGATACAAGGAATTGTGCGTTTATTTTTAAATATGAAGGTTGATAATACTATTTGTCCTAGTAAATGGATCAGACTGATCCAAACTCCTCAAACCCAGGTCCAAATGATCAAGGTCACCAGATAACCTGCAAATAAGTTCAACGGGGAACGGGGTAGTCCCCCAGTGAACCTTCCGACAAGCAAGTTAGAAAGAAAAGTAGAGTATAGAGGAGAGATTAGAGATAGAAAAGCTTAACTTTCTTCTTGTCTTCAACGTTTGCTTATATCCTTTGGTAATCATTTCGCTGTCCCTGTCAATCTGCCCCCTTCGCCGAAAGTCTATGCTGTAGCTTACCTTGTTCAGGGTAAGGGGGTCCTGTTCCGACGGGGAGGTGTTGTCGTAATAAATGCTGTGATGGGCTGCATTAATGGTGATGTGCAGTGACAATAACTTTGCAGATCTTTATCTGCCGATGTGACTTGTCCTTTGCCTGCCATATGTCTGAATGTCATTGGCTCTTTGTGCCATGCTGGATTCCAGTTGTTCTGGCCTCCACCAACTGGGTTATGTGCTGGGCTCCAAGTGATAGGCTTGGGTTGTTTATAGTGGGTTATGGCCTCTATGGGCTTAGCCACGTCAGTAGTCCCCCATTCCCGAGTGCAGCTTTAGTTCAACGAAGGGAATACAAATGAAGGGAATGAGAGTGCCAGAGAATGGTGGGGGTCGACCGGCAGGGGTGACCGAGGGGGTGGACCGACCGTGAGGTGAACCGACCGTGAGGCAGACCGACCGTGAGGCGGACCGACCGTGAAGGGTGGCCGAATGGGAGGGCCGACCACGAGGGTGGCCGACCGCGGGGAGGACCGACCGCGAAGGGTGACCGAGTGGGGGGGCTGACCACGAGGGGGGGCTGACCGCAGGGATTGGCCGAGTAGGAGGGGCGCGGGGCTCAAGAGGCGGCGTATCACGCGGTGATTTGAATTGGAAAAGACAGGATAAGGGGAGGAGACAGTGAATCGTAGTCGTACACGTGGCACCATCTCGTGGGAGGAGATTAGGCGTTGGAGCAGAAATGAAACGATGGGTCATCTGTACTATATATTAAGCAAAATGGGGTTTTTAACCCCAAAACCTGTGAGAGCTCCAATCTCCTAATCCTAATTTTCTAATTTTTTGATTTAAAAAAAAAATCTCAGCATTTATTAACTTCTTCCAACCCAATCTCAGCATTTATTAACTTCTCCCAACCCACAATCCCTTTTGACTTCTCTCATAATTATTGCAACACCCTTTTCAATTTCTCCCATACACTATGGTTACACCCTTCTTGTATCGAAAAAATTCGAACCCAATTTGAAGTAGAGAGCAAGCAAACTGTTCCCAACGAAGCGATCAGTTTTCCCCCTAGATATTGACAAAATAGATTAAAAAAACTATTGACTGATTTATTTATTTAATAACAAAAATATTTCATAATCTCTCCCTCCTAATCTCTCTCACAAATTTTCAAAAAAAAAATATTAAAACTTGCATTCCTTTTCTCTTCTCCAAAAAATCAGATAATATTTTTATTAAAGTTGTAGATATCTACCTATATTTTATATATTATATTATAACATAACAAAAAAAAAACTAAAATACTAAAAAAAAATCTTTAAAGTTTATCTAAATAAACTTTAAATCAATAAAACTCACATGTCTATCACATATCTAACTCACATCAGAACTTACCTAAATAATAATAATTAAAAACAAATGAAAACCACAAATAAATTAAATTAAAAAAAAAAAGATACCCACAACTCCATCTTAAATAAATTGAAAAAAAAAAATACCCGAATAGAAACCTCACAAAAATAAAAATAAAAATAAAAAGATATATCTATCTATCTATATCTATACTATATATTAAGTAAAAGAGGGTTTTTAACCCCAAGTCTTGTGGAAGCTTCAATCTCCCAATCTAAATTTCCTGATTTTTTGATTTATAAAAAAAAAAAACTTAGTATTTATTAACTTCTCCCAACCCACAAGTCTCACCCTCATAATAACACTTTAATGCATTAAGAACAAGCATAAAAAAAAATTATTTGAAATCCAACACATATGAATTCTTTGAAAAGTCCCAACATATATGATTATTATCCCTCATAATAATACTTTAATGCATTAAAAAAAGAATAAAAAAAATTTCTTGAAAAGTCAAACACATATGATTATTATCAAAATATTAAACTTTAATATAATATAATAAAAGAAAGAAGACATTTAATTTCTTGAAAAGTCAAACACATATGATTATTATCAAAATATTAAATTTTAATATAATATAAAAAAGGGAAAAAAAGACATTTTAAAAAAAAGACATTTAAAAATCGCAATTCATATATATAGATAATTGTAAATATATTAAGAAAAATGGGGTTTCTAAACCCCAAGCCTTGTGTGAGCTCCAATCTTTCAATCTTAATTTTCTAAATTGTTTATTTAAAAAAAAAACCTCAGCATTTATTGATTTAGTCAAAATTACCTGATCAGCATTTATTAACTTTTTTCAATCCACATGCCTGCATTTATTGATTTGGTCAAAATCTCTTATTAGCATTTAAAATATCCTCATACAAATAATTATAGGTACAGCCCGCGCATAGTTACTGTAGTAGTTTTTTTAATTTCTTCTGTACACTATGATTAGTGATAAAATTGTTAAATTATTTTTATAAAAAATCTTAAAAAACATAATTTATATATTAAAAAAAATTAAAACAAATATAAATATCTATAATTATCCCGTGCATAGCACGACTGATAGGCTAGATATGGGTGTTGAAAAGACAGTTTTGGCGAATGATTTGAAAAGTTTTCAAACTAGCGAAAATTAATTGGGATCCTTGGAATACGGGCAAACCATGGGCTTTTGGCATCATTCGATTCACCTACTTGTTTACAAAGAACCAAGACATTCCAAGTGTTACTTCATTTGTTGCTCACGATACACCTCTGCAACACTTCTTCAATTTCCTTGCTCCTGCATCGGAAGCGATTCACAGACATACCATAGAGATGGCCCAAGAAGAAGCTGTGAATATCAGGGTGGATCCACTAGGCGATGATGATGCAGTGGAGTTAGCGCAGCAATATAGGATGGAGAGGGTGGAGGAGTCGGTCGCACGATCCCACAGTTCCACCATGATAGCAGCTGCAAAGCCAATCAGCCAGGCAGAATCAGACCACTGGCATACAACAACAGATAAATCAACGGTTACTGCGGCGGATTTGGAGGTTGTTCGCGAAAAATACCAGGTGCCTGCTGAAATAGAGTTATCGTTGCCGATGTCGACGGAGAGGCCATCCAATGCCAGGGCAGGGTAGTTTGCCCTTTATGAGGAGGCATTGAAAGGAGGACTGAGGCTGCCCCTGCCGCAGGTGGTAATAGATGTCCTAAATCGTTTGAAGGTGACGCCAGGCCAACTAATGCCTAATGCGTGGAAGATCTTATTGTCCTGTGCAAGTGCCTGGCCAAAGGCGAACGAAGGGGTGGCTATGACAATGGACGAATTCTTCGCATGTTACAAGGCCTCCGGGCAGCAAGAGACTTGGGTCACTCTGCAGGCAGCGGCAGGAAAAGGGCTAGTGGCGGGGCTGCCGTCGTCGATCAAGGGGTGGAGACCATGGTGGTTCTATATGTCTGGCAGTGGAGGGGTTGGAGTGCACACCATTTGAAAGGTGCCCACCAAGTCGATGGAACCAAAGTTGGGAGCAGCAGCAGAGGAGAGGGTGAAGAGGGTAAAGAAATGGAGGGAGAAGGGAGGGGCCAGATAGGACGAGCTCATACAGCCGTCTGCATTGTTTGAGGCAAGTTTAGGTCCACAGCCGAGCGGGGGGGATCTTGACCGAGCGGAGTTGGAGGCAAGAAGGAAGGCTCAAGAGGCGGAGGATCGGACCATTCTTGCAAAGGCCCAAAAATTCAAAGAGTCTCAGGCAGACCGACCGGCAAAATCAGTTGCCAGGGAGAGGATTCGACCTTGCCTCAAACCCTTGGAGGAGAAAGATTTAGGTGAATTTGTGCCACGATCGCCACCAATGGACCCTTTGAAGGAGAGGTCTTTGAAGAAGAGGTCTTTGAAGGAGATGGAGGTGTTGGGCGTGGTGAAGAAGAAGAAGAGAGTGAGGTAGAGTGAAGAAGAGCCTGCCTAGAAGAGAATAAGGGAAGTGAGGGCAGAAGAGGCCAGTCTGACCTAGGAGATAGAGGGTGGGGAAATTGAGGAGACCCCAGGAAGGGTAGTTGTCCCAAAAGCGGTGGACATTGCCTCAGAGGTCAGAGAAGTCATGCCAGTGGTGCCGGCGATCGGCGTAGGGGTCGCGAGGGTCACCCTTGAGTCAAGGAGGGGAGAACAGCCCCAAGGTGGGCCTGCACCCCAAGGAAGGGGAGTTAGTCTGACTACAACGATCTATCACGCTCGTGTAGTGGCTGGGCGGCTAAAGGGAGAAGAAGGCCCAGCCAGGGCAGGGGCAGACCGCCTGGTGGGGATTGTAGAAGAGGCAGCCCTACGCTCAGCATCCAGATTCAACGATGCTGAACTGCTGAGGGGGTTATGCTCCGCTCAAATGGAGGTAACCACCTTAGCAGGGGCTCTGCTGAGGAAAACGACGGCTGCCAAACTCAAGGTAGATGAGGCCAAGGCTCAACTTGCAAAGTTGAAGAAGGAGAGTGCAAGTTGGAAGACTGCCCACACTGATCTGCAAGCGGTCAAGGTGGAGCTGGAGGACACACACCGCCAGGTTGTGTTGCTCGAGTTCCAACTGGCTGGCGAGCAGAAGAGGTTGGATGAGGCCCAAAAAGCCTGCGCAGTCGCAGTCGAACGACATGAAGAGGCAATGAGCAGTAACGAAGAGCTGGTCAGGCAGAAAGATGAGGCAGATGTGAAGATTGGCGATCTGAAGAAGGAGCTGGAGGGCGAACGTGCCAAGGCAGTGGAG